CCTCCACCAGTCGTTTTTTGCTTTTCCTCTAGGGATGTCCAAGATTTCCAGATAAGGTTGCATCATGCCGCACTCACGTAGTGCTATTTAGCGAGAGGGGAGCGTTGAATACCCACTCTCAGCCATGTCAACAAGCACAAAGGCTTCCATCGGTTGCAGCGCGGTGATGGGTCTCAGTTGACATGTGCCACATGCACAATGCCAACAACCCGATGAGGGGCGCTTCGCAACAACGGAAGTCATTCGATAGTATCTGTGCAGCAATATGCAAACGAGTCGTTGTGCCGTCTGGCAGAAGCCAAAAGGGGGATGCACCTCCGACAATCAACGAGCCTCCGCTCCCACTCTCGACGTGACCTTTCAGGAGTGAAAACGACACGCAGACACAATTAATCGTAGATTCCCAGAAAAATATGGGAAACTATGGGAAGTTGGGGGGGGGGAGACAGAAACCCCAAACATATGGGACACTATGCGGAATATTTTTGTTGATTGTATTTATTTGTGTGTCCTGGGGCCCCTTCAACCTTGGCAGGTCGACCTTCACGCGCTGGTGGTCATTTGGCGCGGCGCATGTCCATCAAACGGAACATCGAGATCTTTCTGGGGACTCATGCTCGGTTCATGCCATCGTTTTTTTTTCCGCCTCGTTTGCATTGGCCAGAGCACGGGTAGTATGCAGACGCATCTCGCACTTGTCGATGCCGTGTTCACTTAGCTGGCGTGCTGGTGCTGATTTCGATGTCGTTCCTGGCTTGTCCTGCCCATGCAGCATCCAGGCCGCGATCTCTCGTGCTCCTGCGGATCATTGCGTTGCAGAAGGAAGCCGATGACTCGAGAGGAGAGTGCCTGGCAAAAGAGGAGAGTGCCTGGCAAAAAAAACCATGCTTCCAGGAGCAGCTCGCGCAGATTGCAGGGAAGCTGCCCTCCCAGGCGCTCGAGGACTCTCCCCCGCGGGCGGCGCGGGCATGCGTGCCTGCATGCCGTCTCCAGCCAAGGACAGCGATGGCTGGGGGCCCGGACGGTTCTGGTGTACGCTTGCGCGTGCGATTTTGTTCAGGGGCTCATTGGATCTGAATCCTGGGTCTGTTTGTGGATTAGCAGGAGCACTGTGGTTCAGTGGCCAGTGCCTCACACAGGTCTGTCACTTCTCTAATGGCGAATTCGTCTTCTTATGATATTCCCAGAGCGTAGCATGATATTTTCCAATACTCCTCGTCGAGACTTCTGGGGGAGGGGAGGAGGAGAGAGAGAGAGAGAGAGCGAGAGAGAGAGAGAGAGAGACAGAGACATGTAGATGTATCTAGCTGCCTGCGGCAAACCCCGCCACCGTGTCTGTGCACCAGCGCAGCAGGAAGGAGGCTGAGTGTAGGAACTGCGAAATTCCGACGAGTAGTCTGCATTGGGGCGATCCCGACCTCGTCTTCGTCCGCGTGGCAGGGAAGAGGAGGAGGGTGAGGAGGAGAAGGAGGAGGCTGAGAAGAAGTAGGCGAGGGAGAACCTGATCATGAGGAGGAGAAGGCTTCTCGGGGACTTCCTGGGGCTTCGTTGAGGCCTCCTGGGAGCCTCCTCAACGCTTCTTGGGGGCCTCTTGGAGGCCTCTTGGGGGGGCCCCTCGGGGCCTCTTAGGGGGCCTCTTAGGGGACCCGTGGCCCCCCTGGCGCCCGTGGAGGCCGCCTCGAGGGCCCCTCCGGGCCGCGCTGGTGCCCTCTTTTGGGGCGGTTCGCGGCCGTCTTGGGGGCCCTTTTGGGAACCTTTTGGGCGATCTCTGGATTCTCTTGGGCCGACTTCGGGCCCTCTCGGGTGCCTCCTCCTCCTCCTCCTCCTCCTCCCTCCTCCCTCCTTCTCCCTCCTCCCTCCTCCTCCTCCTCCTCCTCCTCCTCCTCCTCCTCCTCCTCCTCCTCCATCTCCTCCTCCGCCTCCTCCTCCTCCTCCTCCTCCTCCTCAAGAGTGCCAGGGGGCCGGGCCTTCTCTCTCGGAAGGCGGCGGGGCTCCTATGAAGGCGACGCCTCGTGGGCTGCCTCGGAGCTACCGTGGAGGCCTCTCGGAGGCTTCTTGGGCCGTCCTGGGCTGTCGGACATCAGAACAGGTGAGGCTCTCAGCATCTTTCAACCGCCAGAGGACAATCAGTGGTGTTGGTCTCCTCGGGCTCTCCTGGAGGACATTCTGGAGTTCTCTCGGGCCGTGTTGGGGGCCTGTTGGGCCGTCTCGAGGCTGTCCTGGGAGCCTCTTGAGCCGTCTTGGGCCATCTTGGCTGCCCTGACCGCCGTCCTGGAGGTCATGAGGCTGCCAAAGAGGCCCCAACATAGTCCCGAGACGGCCCGAGAGGTCTCCGAGGCGGCCCGTGACGGCCCGAGAGGTTCACGAGGCCCCCAAAACGGCCCGAGAGGTCTCCAAGAGGCCCTCGAGGAGAGCACGAGGAGGCCAACGCAATTGATGTCCTTCGGGTGACCGCCCACGGCAGCCCACGAGGCGTCTCTGGTTGGTCGGAACCCCGAACAGGCGAACCCCCCACACTCTTTCACACACCCACTGCACGTCAATAGTGTTGCCCCCCGGAGCTCTCCAGGAAGGCTTCTTGGAGTTCTCTCGGGCTGTCTCGCGGGCCTATTGGGCCGGCTTGAGGCCCTCTCGGGCTAGTTCGGGCCGTCTTCATGCTCTCTTGAGAGGCTCTTGAGCTCTCTTGGGTCACCCTGGGCAGTTTTGTTGGCGTCTTGGCTTGCTTTGAAGCAGTCTGTGAGGCCACCTGGAGGCCGAACAGATCGCCAGACACCATTTTCAAACGGGGCAGTGTTCGAGGCGCGCGTGCGTCGAGGGGGGGTCTCTTCACACTCCACACCACCTCCCAGCCTACAGACGCCACTCCGTGCAGCCATCATGGCGGATATGTATCTGTGTAAATGCGTAGACGTATACGTGTATGTAAATGTATACATGCAGGTATGATTGTATGATGCCATGGCGTTATACCTGTATGCATGCATGCATGCAGGATTACATGACGACACAGGTGTATGAATGTCTGAATGCATGAATGTCTGTGTGAACGCATGCGTGCATGCCAGTATGTACAAACACATATGTTTATGTATTGAATGGTTGTGGTGCGTATGTTTCCACCTAGTTATATGTGTACAGAGAGGGGTACATCTAGATTTGAGATATGATAACTTCTCCGCACGCCTCGGTTGGGCTTCCCCCCCAGGCGCAAGGAACCCTTGTGCGGTGTGCTGAGCGAAGCAGCCAGAGCCCAACATCGCTGAACCATCTGCAGACCGCGTTGCTGGCATCGAACGGGCCCAAGTGTTCCGAACGGCGTGCCAGGTGTACCCTCTTGGGTTTACTGTCAAAGCGCGTAGTAAGAACTAACGACTTTCTAAGGTTATCCTTGCATCCTCCTCTTTCGGTCCCTCCTTGGCCACTTTCGTTGGCCAACTCCGTTCGAACATCGTCAGCATGGCCTTTCACGGTCCTCGCATCCCTACAGCACATCCTTACCCATCGGTTGTTGAAAGTAGGCATTTGTGATTCCCAGACCCCGATCTACTTTAGTCGCCTTCCTACTTCAAGAGTCGAGCGGTTTTCCCTCTTCCCTCCTCTTCAGGAGGCGGGCGGACACCCAGTCTACTCTCAACGCCTTCCCGCCTCATGCTTCGACCTGCAGTCGGCCCGGATTGGTAGGTCGACCCTGCCAGCTCAAGGGTACCCTTGTGTCCCGTGCCTCGCGACACGTGCCTTCTTACACTCCTATGGCGCTGTGGCCCTCGCAAGGGTCTCGTGTCCTCTCGCGTGTCCTGTCCAATCGAGGCCGACTGCAGTGAGAGAGGGAGAGGGCAGATCGCGGGAGGAGGAGGAGGAGTGAGATTGAACAGATTTTCGCATCCTTTCGCAGCATCTCCTTTCACCTGGCATCGCTCGGACGCGTGCATGCTTTCTCGGCGAGAACCGTCGAGGACCATCCCCGTCTCCCGCCTGCCTCGCCCGACGGCCTCGGAGGCCCCCCCCCCCGGTTCCCGGCCGCGCGGGTCCGGAGGGTTGGCTGTCGCGGTCGCGGGTGCTTGCAGCTGCCCCGCGGGGTGGGCGCTGGAGACAGCCGGGCTGGACGAAGGGGTAGGATTATATGATGCTCCAACCTACTCTTCAGCCTTGACCACGAGGAAGACTTTCGAACCCCCAAAAAGGCCGGCTGTGCTTCTCTTCCGACCGATGGGTATCTCGGGGGTGGACAGACCTCCTACCCTGTCGATTGAGGAGTTGGCCGTTTTCGGTTCGCGAGAGGGCGTCGCGGCCGTCATTTTTGCGGGTCCAGGTCCGTCGGCTTCGGCCCCAGGCCGTTTTCACTAAGGGGAGGTTTACTAAAGGGAGGATTGTCCACCGCCGATTTAGCCTTGATCACCAGAAAGAATTGCGAGCGCCCAAGAAGTACCGAAACTCAGAGGTTTTCACGTGTCGGACTCTTTTGACACTTTTCCGGGTGCTCGAAATTATTTCTGGGATGCGGCTCTTGAGTCCACCGACGAGTATCGTGGTGGCCCGCGTTTTGACCGTACAGCCCATGGGGGTGCGAGCGCACACGCTTGGCTGGCCGAGGCCGCCGGGCGAAGCCACCGGCAGCCGCGCGCGGGCCGCGCGGCTGCCGCCCCGGCGCCTCTGGTGCGGGAGGCTCGTCTCGCGTCCCAGGGGCGAGGAGGAGGGAGGGGGGGGGACGAGGAGGAGGGTGGGAGGGATGGAGGGTGAGAGGGAGGGAGGGAGGGAGGGAGTGAGGAGGAGGAGGAGGAGCAGGAGGAGGAGGAGGATGGAAGGGGCAGGAGGAGGAGAAGGAGGAGGAGGAGGAGGAGGGAGGAGGGGGAGGAGGAGGCCTCGCACTCCGATGGCCGCAGAGCGCCAGTCGGGCGGCCCGCTGGCCCAGGAGAAGCGGCAGGCCGCCTGGGAGGAGTTGAACTCGTGGCGCCAAGCGGCCGAGGACGCCACAGTGGGGGCCAGAGCGGGGCATCTCCGCCTCCTACTCCTTCTCATCATCCTCATCCTCCTCCTCTTTCCCTTCGTCTCCTCCTCCTTCCCCAAGCCTTCTCCTCCTTCCCTCCTTCTCCTTCCCCCCTCCTCCTCCTCCTCCTTCTCCTCCTCCTCCTCCTCCTCCTCCTCCTCCTCCTCCTACGTTCTCCTCCTCCTCCTCCTTTCTCCTCCTCCTCCTCCTCCACTCCTTCTCTCCTCCTCCTTCCTTCTTTCCTTCCTTCCTCCTTCCTTCCTTCCTTCCTTTCCTCCTTCCTTCCTCCTTCACTCGCCTCCCCCTCCTCCTCTTCCTCCTCCTCCTGTCCCCCCCGCTCTCTCGTCCTCCCCCTCCTCCCCTCCTCCTCCTCCTCCTTCTCCCCCCTCCTCCTTCTCCTCCTCCTCCTCCTCCTCATCAGCATCATCATCATCATCTTCATCATCGTCATCATCGTCATCGTCATCGTTATTATCATTGTCATCAGCAGCATCAGCATCAGCATCAACATCATCATCATCATCATCATCATCATCATCATCAGCATCATCATCATCATCATCATCCATCATCATCATCATCATCATCACCACCAACATCATCATCCTTCTCCTCCTCCTCCTCCTCCTCCTTCTCCTTCTCATCCGCCTACCTCCCTACTCCCCTCCTCCTTGTTTCTTATTGCTTCCCCCCCCTCTTCCTCCTCCTCCTCGTCCTCCTCTTTCTCTTTTCTTCCCCCCTCCTCCCACCCATGCTGGAGCCACCTCGCGGCGTGCCTGCCTGGGCCGCGCACCCCGGCAAGGCGCGACGCGCGTGCTGGCCCATTGACGGAAAGCTGGCGTAGTCGAGGGCCCTCCAGGGGGATGGGAGGAGGAGGAGGAGGAGGAGGAGGAGGAGGAGGAGGAGGAGGAAGAAGAGGTTTGAGGCTCATCGGAGGCTCATCTGGCGAGAATGCAAAACTAAATCAAGTCGTACACGTAGTCCATCTTGGGGCGTCTCGTGGTTGAGACCAGAAGCCGTCCTGGTCAGACTTATGTTGGGCCGTTCGGTACCACCATTTTGACATTTTTGTGTGTAGTCCAGCGGAGCATCTTGGATGCTTCGAACAACCAGAGGCCACCGATGGAAGGTTTTCGTCGTACGAGCTACGGATAGTACAGGGTCGCAGCTCTCCGTGGTTCAATCACCATGTATGTTTCTTCGAGTTTTCTGCGTACGATCTGCGAATTTTTTTCTTGGCGCACTCGCGTGCCACCTGGGGCCTCTCTCGCGTGCCACGCCTGGTGTTCTGTGACGGAGCAGTCGTCGCGAAACGTTTTTACCTGTTCGGCTTGATTCGATGCCGTAATTGTTGTGGAGTGGCGGGGGATGGGCAAGAAACCACGTTCGGCTCTGACACATCCGAGCTGATGCCCGGCATGCTTGATGTAGCCACCATTCTCCGGTGATTTTGCAGGATGGATCATTGCAGGATGGGAGGAGAGAGTGCGGCTCCGTGATGGGAGGCAGGCACGCCATGTCGTCATCCACGAGGCAACAACAGAGGATGGGAGGGGACACGCAGTCTTCGGGATGTGCTGCGCCTGGCACATATGACCCAGGCTTTCGACAGACTGTTTTTTCCACCCGTGGGCCCCAGATGGCTTCTCGATATTCTCTCTGGGCACAGTTTGTCGCACTGGACAGTATGACCCGACGACTGCCCGGGCTCCCGAAGTCCTACAATTCGTCAAACGCGCAGCCATGATCGTTTCGCAATGCCGGAGGTCCAGTGAGGTCAGTGGGGGAGAAGGGAGTAGAGAGAGAGGGGATGACTAGCGAGTAGCACGCGCGGAAGTGTAGCGAATTCCACGCCCATCTTCATGGGCGGCACATTTTGCCCTGGAAGTGCGTCGTCCTCCTTTGTCGAAGCGCTCGCCTTCGAAGACGCGCCACAGGAGGGTCAGCGCACAATGGGCAGTCCGCCGTTCTGGCAGTTAGAGTTCTCCTTGCATGCGCCCAGGATGTGTGAACAGAACGCGTCGGGATCAGAAAGAGGGTCTGGTCAGCAAGCGGGTCGGCAGAGCCCCTTCAGCTCATACCCGGGAGGCCAGAGTACCGTCGCAGGGCTGGACCTACACGCTGTTTTGCTGGACCTCGGCTGTGCTTTGTTTTTCGGTTTGGGAGGGAGGCACAGGAAAGCAGGCAACACAAGACGAACAGCAAAAAACGAACATATCTAGAACAACGACGTGGAGGTCCAGCTCTCTACCGGCGGGATTGACCGTGGCCCCGGGGCGGCTCCTCGGCGGCCGAGTCTGGCCGGGCCCGTGCGCCGGCGGCTCTCTTGCAGGCCTCACAAGCGCGGGCGTCGAGCAGCTGGTGGTCGGAGCCTCGCCGCACCGCTCCGCCGATGCGTCGGCGATGCGGCTCGCTGCGGAGCCCGATGCTCTCCGCGCCGACGGCGCCGATGCGCCGCCGACGTCGACGGCCCACGGAGCGGCGACGCGGGGCGATCCTCCGCCCCCGTGTGCGAGGCCTCTGCTCTCGAGCAGCTCCCCCTCGGAGCCCAGCGCGGACCCCTCTGGCCGCTTCTGTGTTCCCCAGCTCGAAGAAGTGTCAGAGCGTGCATTGCCTGCCCCGCCTTCGCTTCCAGGCAAAAGCAAGTCGTACCACGCGCCTCCTCGTCAAGAGGCCTGACCAGCACAGACCGCACTTTGGCATCGCTTGGTATCTCTTGGAGGCGAGGGTGGTCAAAAGCGAGGTAGGTTTGTTTGCCCCCTAAGAAGAAAACACGCTATGAACAGAAACTTTTGGCGCTCCCGCGGATCTCTCGGATCCGTGCTGGGCCCTCCCCCCCCCAGCGGCGCACGGGGGCCGCCCCTGGCGCGCTCCGCGCGCCCTGCAGGGGCCTTTCCAGTGCAGATCCAAGACGTCCGCGCGGAGCGCCAAAAGTTTGTGCTTATGGCTATGTGTGTGTGTGTGTTTCGTTGTCTCCTTCTTCTGCCAACGTCTCGGGCCGAGCGAAAGGGGGGGATTGGGAAAGGGGGGGTTACGAAGTCTGCTGCATGCAGCCCCGCCGCCGGGCCCATCCCTCGGTACACGGCCGCCTCCGGCGCCGGGAGGCGCCGGGAAAATCAGCTGCGCGAGCTGATTATCAAACCCCCCCTTTGCTATCCCCCCCTTCTCGCGCGGCCCGATCTCCTCGGGGGGGCTGGACGGCACCCCGAGGGGGGGCCGCCCAGTGCAGATCCAAGACGTCCGCGCGGAGCGCCAAAGGTTTGTGGTTATGTGTGTTCTCGGTGTCTTCTTCCTCTGCCAACGTCGCCGTTGCCGCGAGCGCCCTCCTCGTGGGGGGGCCCGACTGCGCCCCCGGGGGGGGGGGGCGCCCGCCGCGGCGCAGGGCGGCATCGCCGCCTGCCTCGGCATGTCCGACGCCGCCAGGCCGCCGCGCGCTCCCCGCGGCCCGCCCGCGCGCAGCGGCATGGGGGAGGCAGGAGCTCTGGCCTCCCCCCCCACACACACCCTCCTGCCCCCCTCCTGCCCCTCCTCCTCCTCCTCCTCCTCCTCCTCATCCTTCCCTCCCTCCCTCCCTCCTCCCTCCCCTCCCTCCCTCCCTCCTTTCCCTCCCTCTCCTCCTCCTCCTCCCTCTCCTCCTCCTCCTCCTCCTCCTCCTCCTCCTCCTCCTCCTCCTCCTCCTCCGCTTCCTCCTTCAGTCGGGCATGTACCTCTACAGGAGGAGTACTCAAGAACAGTAAAACATTGCGTTGCTTCGAACAATCCCCACCAACACTCGGCGTTTGATCCCTAAGGTGCGCGCGCTCTTCTGAACGATGTGCGCGGGGTGCGGTGGTCTCGGTCAGTGTTATGCCATGTTGTCTTATGTTATGATATGTTATGGTATGCATCATCCGATCTGTCATAACATGCAATGCTATGGTATGATGCATTGTTCTATGATATGCGATGTGATGATGTGGCATGTTTCGTTTTGCCATGTGCAGTTCTCCGTTGACCTGGTAAGGTATGCTTGACGTCTCACGTTATGTAATGGTATGTGCCTTGATGCTGTGCTATGGTATGCACTGCTCTTTCATGGTGTGTTATCTTACGATATGGGCTGTCATTATACGGTATGTTATGCTCGGATATGTTCTGTTCTGTGGTGTGGTGTTATGCTCTGTTCTGCGGGGGACTTGTGGATCTGGCCGCCGCGGTATGCAGAGTGGGCGAGTCGGCGCGGGGGTCGGGACCACCAGGGATTATCGCGAGCCTGGGGATCTGGCGGCCGCGGTATGCAGAGCGGGGGGGGGCGAGACCACCAGGGAATATCGGGAGCCTAGGGATCTGGCGGACGCGGTATGCAGGGCGGGCGGGCCGGCAGGTTTGTTCCTAAAATATAACGACCCCACCCTGTCGGGTGGGGAAATAGTCTGGTGACGATGATTCGTGCTTGTTCTGCTATGTTTGATCATGTTTTGACTATTCGCAGTTTTCTTCCAAAATCCGCCTGTCGGAGAGCATGCCAGACCTAATTCTGCTACTTGTTCCCAGGTTCCCAGAAAAGGGGTCTCAAGATCGAAGCGGGCACCACCAGTCGGCGCCCATGAGTTACCCTGTCACTTTGCAGGCCTTCAGTCGGGACGATCGCATTGGGTACGGAAAGAATGGGCACGATGCCCAACAGCAGTTCCTGTTCATTTTGAACCGGATTCGCTGTCCGAGCCGCCACGGACGCTGTTCTTTGAAGAAGGAAAAAGCCGCCCGCCCAACAGCGGCCGCTGTCGGTTTTGGACAACATTTGCTGTCAGGCATTGTGCCCATTTTTTCCGTACCCACGTCGGGCGTCCACATTCAGGTGAGCGGCTGGCGGCCAAAGTTGCCCCGCTCCAGCTCGGATTCCCATCTCGGAGCTCTACAGGGCACGCCGTCGAGGGGAGGAGTTCGAAGAAGGAACAACGCCGAGCATTTCGTTCATGGCGCTTTTTTTATGCTACAAGCGCGGAAACCCTGGCCAAGATGTCGAGGGATTTTGTTGATGCCGATCTTGGCCATGGTCCATGTCGCTCGTCGCCCACTCGCGGGGATGAGCCACGAATCGACGCTGACCGAGAGCGACGGTGACCAAGATCGACACGGCGTTGCCGCGTTCAGTCTTGGTCATGGTCCCCGTTTTCTCCCACTCCCTGTCAGTTCGTGCCTCCCCTCTCGGGGCCCTCCGGGGACCGCTTGTGTTTTCTGAGAGCCCGGAATCCTTGGCATCGCTCGGACGTGTGCACTTTTCGCGGCGACGACCATCGAGGAGCATCCTGGATCATCTTCCGAAACGAAGCACGCACGAAACCCACACACGCACGGGGAATGGACGTCCGAGCGATTGCAAGCCTCCGGGGAACGCTTCGGCTTTGTTGGGGCTAGGAAGCCGTCTAGGGGAGTTCCTGTGGGGCGTCTGGGGCGTTCTCAAGACCTAGAAGGCGCGAAGGCTGAGACATTTGAACAGCATTCGTTTGTCAAGTCCAAGGTTTCATGAACCGGCATGGCTTGCCCCACTCGCTTGACCACGGCACGGCATGCCCCGGTGAGGGGGACATCCTTGCTGCCCACCCGCCCGTGACTCGATCGTGCGCCCTCGGTTAAAAACACGTACTCGGCCACATTTGCGGGGGTAGGTAATGCTTCCACGACCCAGTAATGGCATTGCCACCATTTGAAACTAAAATTGAGCGTGTGCAATCTCGAGTTCGCTCCAGAGGCCTCCAGAAAACTCACGCGACAAGCCCCAGGAGAGCCTGGTTACGCCAGGACATTCGTGCCTCAGGCCCCTGCGAGTATTTCCAATATTCGATACAGAACTCAGAGTGGCCCGAGGACACTTCAGTCCACTCCAATTTGGACGGAAAGGGGAAAAGCAACCCAGACGCCTACATGTTTGCATGCAGCGGCATTTCCTTCATTGCCTCGCGGCATGGATGCGGATAAGGAGCATGCTGAGATGTCAGGGAATGACCAGGATCATGTTCTGCTTCTGTGAAGCGTTGTGCAGTGCGCAGAGGTTTCCGCCGCACGGAGACCGCCAGAGCGGGCTTTCTCGGATTGCGGGCCCGTAAGCCTTTCACCGAGGGCGCATGCCCGCAGATGTTGCCTCTCGAGTTTCTGCACGTCGGTCCCGTTGCCTCGACTTGCTCTCGTGGCGCTTTGGGGCCGAATCCGCCAAATAGGTCGCCACATGTCCGCAGGCTGCAGCCGGCAGAGACATACCTTGTGCGGAAGGGGGGCCATTGCTCACACACGCACGCACGCACACACACACACACTCTCCTTCATATTCGTTCCTGGACACATTCGTGTCGGCGGTCGCCTCTGGTCGCACCAGTTGTGCGTCGGGCGATGTTTTGGCGACCGATTTCTAGAGGCGAGCGATTGGTGGCGTTTTTGTTGTGAAGCAAACGGTGCACACACCTGCATACCGTTTATGATCGTGCACACGGACTATGATCTACGTCTGTATTCAAGCCCTTGTTGGCTGAAGCGAATCTGGATGTGTGTCCAGCCACCCACGCATTGAAGGCGTTACGCAGACGAGTCATACGCCGGCCGGCTTGTTAAACAGACATGTCTTCCATGGATCTACCCAATTAGCTTTATATCCAAGCCAAGTCCAGGAAGCGAAGGCAACAATGCAACTCGACCGTATGCAGTGCACACGTGATATCTGGTGCATGCTGGGGCGTGTTAGTTGGTCCAGGCATGAAACGCATTCTTTTGTGGCTCGTAGTTGTGTTGGCACAACTCATGCAATCTCGAAACAGCCGGTGATTCTACTCGAGAGAGCGTTGTGTTTCATGCGCATGGTGTTGTAGGCCTACAGGAATGCCGGGGCGGTGGGTCCGCGCTCGATCTCTGCCCCCTCTCCCCCATGACGCTGGTCGTTGAAGAATGGGGCCTCCTCTTGGCTTGGCATCGCTCGGACGTGCGCCTTGTTCCTCGGCGAGGACCATCGAGGAGCATCCTGGATCATCCTGCAAAGAAAAGCCAGAAAGAAACGAGGAGAACGTCTTGGACCACCGAGAAGCACGCGCGAGATTGGAAAATGCACGGGGAGTGGTCGTCCGAGCGATGGCACGTGGGACGTCCAGATCCCAGCTTGCTTCAGGCGCCTTCCTGCTTCAAGAAACGCCACATGCTTTTGCTGTTTTTTGCTGTGCCTGGGGCGGGCCCGAACCCAGTCGGCTCTTGATCCGTCTGCCTACGTCACGTCTCCCCGTACTTCTTTCCGACCGGCGGGTGCCGTGTAAGGGGAACTCTGGTCATGTTGCCGGGCCTGGTACATCTCGCGGGGCCTGGGCCGGCCACACACGTCCCGGCAGGGCGAACTCCGCGCACGCAGCCGAGACGCTGAGACGAGCACCTGTGCTTGGCTCGCGAAGGGTTTTGGCTTTCGGCCTTCTCTTGGCTCCTAGGTCGGGGAACCTCTTTAGAAGAAGAACAAACAACATAAACATAAACGTTTGGCGCTCCGCGCGGATTTCTCGGATTCGCGCTGGACCCCCTTCCCTGGCGCGCTCCGCGTGCCAGGGGGGCCCCGGCGCAGATCCAAGAAATCCGCGCGGAGCGCCAAAAGTTTATGGTTACGTTTTGCTTCTCTCTTATTCTCTTGGATCCTAGGTCGGGGAGCCTATGCGCGACCGAGGCTCGCCGTGGCCAGAGCAGCTCTTTCGTTGCCTGCTGTGGGTGGCGCGGCCTGAGCTGGCTGCAGCTGCGGAGCAGGGGCGGCCTCAGAGGCGCGCCCCGGCCAGAGGCACGCGTGCAGGGGCACGTTCCTGCGGCGTCCGCCGCGGCCAAATGCTGGCTGCGGAGGTGGGCCAGCGCAGGATGCCCCGGTCGCACTCGGACAGCAAGGTGGGTGCTACAGATTTCGACGAAGAAAAAACACACATACACATAAATTTTTGGCGCTCCGCGCGGATTTCTTGGATCCGCGCCTGGGGCCCCCCGGCGGCGCCTCCGGCGCCGCCCCTTGCGCGCTCCGCGCGCCAGGGAGGGGGGTGCTGCGCGAATCCAACAAATCCGCAAGGACCGTCGAAAGTTTATGGTTATGCCCTTTTTTTCCTTCCTCCTAAATCTGGGTGCTCCAAGTCGCAACAAAAGGGGGGGGGCCACAACCCCCTCGGTGAGGACCATCATAGGCCTTACCAGTGAGGACCACCATGAGGCCTCACACCCCTCGCAGTTTCCATCATTGGGACTGCGGGGGTCGAACCAAGTCCCCACAGACCTGGCACCGTACGTGCAGTCCCAGGGGCAGCGGCCCGTCTTCCCATCTACCATCATAGGGGGATGCGAAGTTCCTGAAGACGGGACGGGGTGGGCACGAGCGGGTATCATAGCCGGCTCAAAATCAAAAGAGGCATCATGGCCTCATCAATCTACATTGATTCATCCACGGATCCACTGCAATTGATTTTCATTGAATTCATTCCATGCGTAGCCTGCTCTCCCCCTCAGACCAGCCATGGAAGGGCGGCATTTTGCCCTCACCTCCCCCGAACCCTCCAAGACATATCGAATCAGACCCCCCCAAATGTGCCCCCCCCCCCGCCACTTTATCATGGACTCCGGAGTAAGTGGCTCTGTTCGGAAGCATTTTAACATGCGTTCCAGGCTTTGTTCCTCTTTCGTAGAGGATACCAGCGGCCGCTGCGGGCCACTAAAAGGCTGCCCAATGCCGCCAAAAGGCCACCGAAGGCGGCTCAAAGGCGACTGAAGACCGATGTAAAAAAACGCGAACAATACACTGAAGGCCGCGCAAAGTCCACCAACAGCTCTTTAGCCGAGGCGGTATATGTCAACAGCGGGATTTCAAACGACCTACCTAACGACATCTGGCCAGGAGCGGTCCCTCTTCTCGGGTTGTGGTCGAAAATGGGACGCAGCGTGAGTCTGAATTTCTGGAGCCCCGCGCGAATGTCTTGGATCGGCGCTGGCCGCTCCTCCTCCTCCTTCTCCTCCTCCCCCTCCTCCTCCTCCTTTTCCTCCGCCTCCTCCTCCTCCTCCTCCTCCGCCACCTCCCCCTCGTCCCCCCTCCTCCTCCTCCTCCTCCTCCTCCTCCTCCTCCTCCTTCTTTTCCTCCTCCCTCCTCCTCCTCCTCTCCTCCTCCTCCTCCCCCTCCCCTCCTCCTCCCTCCTCCTCCTACTCCTCCTCCTCCTCGTCCTCCTCCTCTTCCTCCTCCTCCTCCTCCCCCCTCCTCCTCCTCCTCCTCCTCCTCCTCCTCCTCCTCCTCCTCCTCCTCCTCCTTCTCTTCATCCTCCCCCTCCTCCTTCTCCTCCTCCTCCTTCTCCTCCTCCTTTTCGTCGCGAGTCCCCATTTCACTGACCGAGCGAGACCGAAGAAGAAACACAACGGCATAACACACAGTTTTGGCGCTCCGCTCGGATCTCTTGGATCTGCGCCGGGGCCCCGTTGGCGGCGCCTCGGGCGCCGTCCCTGGCGCGCACCGCGCGCCTGGGGTGGTGGTCCATCGCAGATCCAAGACGTCCGCGCGGACTTCCACAAGGTCATGCTCATGGTGGCTCTTGTCCTAGAGAGGGTAAAGAGGTCCAGGGCGGGGCGCTGGGCAGACTGCGGGACCAGGCTTTTGCTACAATCTGCGGGCCTCTGGAGGGTCTGAGTGAGGGTCCTTGTCTCGGTTCCAAACGAGGCTGGCGGGAAAGGGCTGTCCAGACAGGGCTGTCCGTACGAGGGCTAGCGGAAAAGGGCTGTCTGTCTTTCCCGAGACTGTTCTGGAGCATGGCGTAGAATTGCCCCTCCCGCCATCTTCATCCGTCCGCAGGGTCCTCATCTGTGGCTTCTGCAAGATTGCGTTCGGCGTATTCCCACCGGGCTTGACGGAGGACAACAACAGTACCTCCGCCTGGCCGATCTACGATCGAGGTAGAACGACTCGCTGAGAACGGATCCTTCCTTGTTCACATCGCTATACTGACACGTGCATTGTCTTCGTGCCCCGCTGTGGATCAGCACAGCTTGGCGGAAAGGGAGAGAGAGAGAGAGAGAGAGAGACAGAGAGAGAAAGAGAGAAGGCTTCACATAGGGGGATATGTAAAGAATGACGCCTTCGCTTGCAGGCATCCCCTATTCCCTTCGTCACGGCGATGGTACATCGAGATGAACTGGCATGGAGGGAAGATGGGGCAGTGTGAGGCTAGGTGGTTGAAATGGAGACTTGGGGGTGATGTTTGATTGAGCTTGCTCGTGCGTGAAAGTGCACATCGGCACGCCGCTACCCTACCCTATATCAGCACCGACCGCCGCTGCAAAACACCAATGTTGCGAGAGAATCGCACGGGGAGGCCATCCCCAGAGCAAGGATAATCAGCACCAGCGCATTCACAAATGTCGGCGGCGAGCGGGGGGTGGGAGGGAGAACCAGAAGGCCTTCTCAGACAGCGGCGGGGCTTCTCAGTAGCCTTCGGGACTTCAGAGAAGTTTTTGTTGTGCTTTCGGGGAAGGCTTCTCAGATGGCCGGGGGACTTCCGAGCCTCAGCCCGCCCCTTTTCACTTCTCCCCAGGCTGGCCGCCGAAAATGCATCAGGACGAGAGTCTCTCGGATGCCCCCAGACGGTGTGGTGACCACACCGTGTGGTGAGTCGGTGGGGATTCGGGGTCACCGCACGGTTTTGGGACTCGAGGCCCTCTCCGAGGATGTCTCGGGCGACAGAGGCCTCCGGGGTCCCAAGACCGTGCGGTGACGCACCGTGCGGTGAGGTCTCTTGGGCTTCCGAGGTCACCGCACGGTCTGTCACCACACGGTTTCGGGATCCCCAAGTTCGGTTGCACAAGGGCGCCCTCGAGGGCGCGAAGTTATTCGCGCTTCGCGCTTCGCGGTTCGGCTCCGATCCCTCATCCTCCACTTCTCCCCGGGAGGCGGCGCGAGAGCGCGAAGTTATTCGCACTTCGCGCAGCGCGAAGCGCGAAGTTAGGAGCCCTTGTTGCAACTCTTTTGTTTGAGCATTTTTAGTGTACGTTTGGGGTATTTTCATGTTCGTCTAAAATCGGCCTGTAGGGGGACAGGCCCGACTTAATTCTTGGGAGGTCAAATTCTGACTTTGCCCTGACACGAAGTCCAGCGGAATTCGGCTTTAATCCGGCGAGGAAGACCCGGGGAGCGAAGGCGCCGGCCAATGCCTTCACACCCTCCTCCCCCTCCTCCTTCCTCCCCCTCCCCCTCTTCCCCATCTTCCTCCTCCTCCTCCTCCTCCTCCTCCTCCTCCTCTCCTCCTCCTCCTCCTCCTCCTCCTCCTCCTCTTCCTCCTCCCCCTCCTCCCCCTCCTCCCCCCCTCTTCCCCCTCCTCCTCCTCCTCCTCCTCCTCCTCCTCCTCCTCCTCCTCCTCCTCCTCCTCCTCCTCCTCCCTCCTCCTCCTCCTCCTCCTCCTCCTCCTCCTCCTCCTCCTCCTCCTCCTCCTCCTCTCTCCCCTCCTCCTCCTCCTCCTCCTCCTCCTCCTCCCTCCTCCTCCTCCTCCTCCTCCTCCTCCCCTCCTCCTCTCTCCTCGTCCTCCTCCTCCTCCTCCTCCTCCTCCTCCTCCTCCTCGCTCTGCCTCTCCTCCTCCTCCTCCTCCTCCTCCTCCTCCTCCTCCTCCTCCTCCTCCTCCTCCCCCTCCTCCCCCTCCTCCTCCTCCTCCTCCTCCTCCTCCTCATCATCCTCCTCCCTCCTCCTCCTCCTCCCTCCTCCCCCTCTTCCCCCTACTCCTCGTCCTCCCTCCTCCCCCTCCCCCTCCTCCTGCTTCTCCTCCTCCTCCTCCTCCTCCTCCCTCCTCTCCCTCCCCTTCCCCCCTCCCCCTCCTTCCCCCTCCTCCTCCTCCTCCTACTTCTCCTCCTCCTCCTCCTCCTTCTCCTCCTCCTTCTCCTCCTCCTCCTCCTCCTCCTCCTCCTCCTCCTCCTCCTCCTCCTCCTCCTCCCCCTCCCCCTCCCCTCCCTTCCTTCGTCCTCCCTCCCCCTCCCCATCCCCCTCCTCCTTTCCCTCCTCCTCCTCCTCCTGCTCCTCCTGCTATTCCCCCTCCCCATCCGTGAGCCCCCATTTCACTGACCGATCCAACTCGAAGAAGAGACAACGGCATAAACATAAACTCGTGGCGCTCTGCGCGGATCTCTTGGGTCTGCGGGGTCTGCGCCGGGGCCCCCCTCTGGCGGCGCCTCAGGCGCCGCTCCTGGCTCCTGGCGCGCTTCGCGCGCCGGGGAGGGGGGTCCAGCCCAGATCCAAGAAATCTGCGCGGACCTCCAACAGTTTCTGTTTATGCCTGTTTCTGTTCCTCTTCAACGGCGCTTGGGCCCCATGGCTGCCGTCGAATCGGGGCCCTGGCGGACCAGCGCCTCATGACTGGCGGTCGAGGCCGCCGCGAGTCCCCTGCTTGTGTGACGCCAGGGCCAGAACGGAACCTTAGCATCGCTCGGCCGTGTGTATTTCTTCTCGGCAGGAGCATCGCGGGGCACTGTGGGCCCTCCTGCGAACGGCATGCGCGCACGAAGCCGAAACATGCGCGAGGAATGGACGTCCGATGGCGAGCAACGGGCGTGGTGTCCCCCCCAACCACAGCCTGGCGCCCCCCGCGAGTGCGCCACGGCGCTCGCGCAGCGCAACGCAGCCCCCGCAGCGCCGCACGCTGCTGCGGCGCCCGCGGGCTGCCGCGGTGCGGCGCTCGCGGGCTGCGGCGCGCCCCGGGCGGTGTTGGTCTGCAGGCCTCTGGCGCGCTACTGCGCACACGCGTGGCGCTGGCAGACCGGTTCTGTTCTCGCCAGGCATCGGCGGCGAGCGGGATGGGAGCTTTGCTGGGCCTCGGTTCCACCACCACCACCACCATAAGTTGGAGGGGAAAGGGAGGTGGAGGACGAGGAGGAGGAGGACAAAGGGGAGGAGGAGGAGCAGGAGGAGGAGGAGCAGGAGGAGGAGGAGGAGGAGGACCCCGTCCCCCTCCAATTTATGTTGGTGGTGGTGGAAAACAGGCCCATCAGGCCTGAGAATGAGAATGCCTTCTCAGAAGGCGGCGGGACTTCTCAGAAGCCCTCGCGCCTTCTGAGAAGTTTGTTGCATCTGCGGGGAAGGCTCAGTAACCTTCTCAGAAGGCCGGGGGGTCCGAGCCTTTGAGAAGATCTTCTTCTTCTCACTTCCCCCCCCTCGCGCGCCGCCGACGATAGGCAAATCTCGGGGTGGCTGCTCAGGATGGCCAATCAGTGGATTGGCTGGGTGAGAGCAGTGATCGAGAGGAGACGAGCTGCCGAGCTGCTTGCGCGGCCGCCGGTGGTTGCAAGCGCACACCGCCACGACAAGATCTGAGTTGAACTCTGGTTAGTCATGACAGGTGAAGGAATCTATGAAGATAAGGGTGCTGTGCCCACGACCGTTGCAGCGCTTGTGTACCCCGAGTGCAGTGATAAAATGATAATCAAGGACCTCCAGGCTGATGCTGTTTTGCGTGTGCTTAGATCTAGACTTCGGAGGGGCAGATCGCAACGCGACCACAATGTCAGACAAGTGCGACACATAGCGCCGTGTTGGCCATGTTGGCTGAGTTGCCAAGGCGAATCACATTTGTTGTCTATAGCATGTATCCAAAACAAGGTCTCAAGATGCAAGCGGCGAGAAATCGCAGCTGGAAGCTTCTCTGTAACATCTACCGTCATGTTGTGTAACTGCACCAACACGTGGGCGCTGCAAGACAGCAACGTGCAACACTTGTGACATCTTTGTACGTGCGCGTGATATTCGTCTGGATCGATTCCTGGCTGCAAGCAGTGCGCTCCGTGCGTTCTGCTCTGGGCGAACGCATTTCCCGCGGTGGCGTGTACACACCCACACCCAGGAAAGGAGGAAGGAGGAGAGAGGAGGAGGAGGAGGAGGAGGAGGAGGAGGAGGGAGGCGGAGGAGGGGGGGAGGAGGAGGAGGAGGATGAGGAGGAGCATGATGAGGATGAGGAGCAGGAGGAGCAGGAGGATGATGATGAGGAGGAGGAGGGGGAGGAGGAGGAGGAGGACGAGGAGCAGGAGGAGCAGGATGAGGATGAGGAGCATGAGGAGGAGGAGGAGGAGGAAGAGGAGGAGGAGGAGGGAACTGGAGGATGAGAAGTCGTACGGAGGAAGGATGATCAGAAGATGGGTGGAGGAGGAGGAGGAGGAGGAGGAGGAAGAGGAGGAGGGGGAGCACAGGGCTCAGGGGATTATGGCCCTCTCCCCTCTCGCTCTTCTTCTCTTCCACTCCCCCCTGCCTTACGACGACGACGACGACGACGACGACGACGACGACGACGACGACGACGACGACGACGACGACGACGACGACGACGACGACGACGACGACGACCACACCCCCTGGAGGTCTCGGGGGGCTTCGGGTTGCCTCCGAACGGCCAGAGCAATGTGGACCAAAGGCGCCCCAGAGTCTCGGTCCTCTCTCCACCTCCCCCTTCCTCTTTGCCCCCCTCCTTCTCCTCCTCCTCCTGCTCCTGCTCCTCCTCTTCCTCCTCCTCCCCCTCCTGCTCCTCTTCCTCCTCCTCCTCCTCTTCCTCCTCCTCCCCCTCCTGCTCCTCTTCATCTTCCTCCTCCTTCCCCTCCCCGGGGGAAGACCGCACCGTTCTCAACGCCGTGCCGTCCACCAATCCTGCAGGTTGGACCCGTTCCGCGTTTCGGTGCACCTCAGCTTTGGCTTCGGCTTAAGCTGCTGGTGCACCGCGAAGCGCCCTCGATTCAGCTCACCCGATCCGGGTTTCCGCTCACATGGGTGCTTCCCTCCCTCCCTTGCCCCCCCTCCTTCTCCGCCGAGCTCCCCTCGCCCCGCCCTCCCAGCCCGGCCGTGGGCGCAGACCTCCTTGGAGTGGCTGGGCAGGACTGACAGCGGACTCCGCCGCGAAGATGTATACGCAGACGTAGTTCCTGGGCTTCGGGGGAGGGTGACGGTGTACAAATCATCACTGGGAGCCAGCGACTTGATGCGCCGCCACTCTCCCTGAAGGTGCATGCAAAGTTCGCCCGAGGCAGGCAGGCAGGCAAG